AGAAAGACTTATGTAAGTAATGTAGTTGATTGTTCCATCCATTGCAAAAGAAATGTTGTTCCTCAGTATCAGATCGTACTGTAAAAGTTACATTCATGAATGTAGTGAGTGTACTGTAAGTTATGTTAAATACATTTGTGGTGAAATTAATTAAAAAGTAATGGAGTTGAACATTGTATTTTGCTCAAATAAGATTCATTGTGATTCTCCTTAGTTGTTTTTATCATTTAGACAGCATAACTTTTTTTTTTTAACTAGTTTATGTTGTTCATAAATAAAGAAAAGTCTCTTAGGTACTTTACAGACAAAGCCAATAACTTTGTTTAAAAAAAAAAATATATATATATATATATATATATAAAATTCCTTGTATGACTCTGTACTATATTAATGCCTTTCTTCATAATGATTCAAATTGTTTGTTCTGTATTTTATCTAAATTAGGTGTTGTGAACTGGAGTGCATTTTCCAGCAATACAAGCAAGAGTTCCGGGTGCCCTACTCGTTAACTCTGTGCTTGCACTGCAATATACGAGGACTGCCCACCTGGGGCTGGGTATGTGGGTGATGGCAGAAGGGGAGTCCTGCGTTGATTTTATTCTGATAAGGAGGTTGAGGGCTATGCTCAGTTGATTGTTTTTTCAATGATGGAGGGGAATTTCAAGCTGTGTGTGTGTGTGTGTGTGTGTGTCTGTCTCTGTGAGTCTCTGTCTGTGTGTGTGTGTGTGTGTGTGTGTGTGTGTGTGTGTGTCTGTCTGTCTGTCTGTCTGTGTGTGTACAGATGTATGTGATTATCTGTATTTGTACATATTTCTTTTACACAATTATCTTTGTTTTGAAATAAAAGTTATGACTGTTATGAGTTTGTTTATTTGAGTTCGCATGCATAATATTGGATACAGAGATTGACAATGTGCTGTATGTAGTTGGTTTAACTTCAAACTACTTTATTGGAATAAATGTTTTATGATAGCCTATATAATGCACAAAAATAAACAATTATCAACTATTAAAGGGGAATGATTAAAATAAGAAATATATAAGGTGCCATCAGTGTTTACAGTAATTTTGTAATTTACAAAGTGAAGTGCAATAAAAGACAGAATGAATCTAAGGCTGCTGGTGTCCTTTTATAAATCCACCATTGAGAGCATTTTTTCATATTGCATCTCTGTGTGGTTTGCTGCGTGTTCTGCTGCCGACAAAAAGGCTCTGCAGAGAATCATCAAGACTGCAGAAACATTATAGGATGCCCTTTACCATCTTTGTCAGACATTGCACTTAGTCGCACTCTCTCAAGAGCCAAAAACATCATCAAGGACAATACTCATCCAGGTCACCTTTTGTTTCAACTGTTGCCTTCTGAGGCGTTATAGGTCTATACAATCCAGCACCACCAGATTCAAAAATAGCTTCTTTCCAAATGCACTGTTTTAATTCAACTTTATACTGATTTTATACTGTTTTTATTTTTGATTTATTTATATATATTATTTTATGTACTGTAAGGATTATTTAAATGTATTTATTGTATACACCAGTGGAGAGTGATCCCAATTTCGTTGTATTGTAAAGTACAATGACAATAAAGGCATTCAATTCAATTCACTAGAATGTGAAAATAAACTTTAAATAAAATACTACACAGATATTACACAATAATACATTCTAAAATTTCTTAAAAGTTTACCTTAAATCAGGCATAGTTAAAACTATGGATGTGTGTTTTACTTCTTTTTGCTGCTTTCATTATTACTTATATAACATTTTTGTTAAATATTATGTCAAATTGACGCGGGACGTCAAAACACGTGACGTAACCGCGTAACGCGCATGCGCTGTCGCCGCGATATGTATGGCGTTATTAATGTGCCTCAATCCTGAGCAAGTAATTGTAAGTTTTGAGCACAGAGAACTATATTTTGCAAGCACATTGCATTATATTTTGAACAGAAATTAACAATCGCAAAAAAAAATTCGTTTGAGCAAAGAAAAAACGATTCCGTGCTCAATAAATGTATTTGCTATTATCCATATTAACGTGCAATAATAACCCCTCTCACGCAGTTTACTCAGGTGCTCTCTCACAAACTTATTCTCTGCGCTCCTGTCAAGTCCCTCTCTCTCTCTCTCAATCTCTTAATTCTGTGCGCGCTCAACTCTTGACACACGCGCGCTCAACTCTTGACACACGCGCGCTCAACTCTTGACACACGCGCGCTCAACTCTTGACACACGCGCGCTCAACTCTTGACACACGCGCGCTCAACTCTTGACACACGCGCGCTCAACTCTTGACACACACACGCGCTCAACTTACAACAGCGTTACAAGTGTGCCACAAAATCAACCAATCGGAAAATTAAAGGTCAATTGTGATTGGCTGTTGGTCTCCAATCACCACGCAGCACAAAGAAGAAGAAAAAGGAATTGTATGGATAGATGTCTTCTCTAGTATGGAATGCCAAAGCTGACTTAATTAAAAATAAATAAATACATAAATAAATAAATATACGAAGAAATGCAAAAAAGCAAAAATACATAAAAAATACAAATAAATGAGTATTTATACTTTTATTTCCTTATTTATGTATAATTGTATTTTTTCACACATTTTTTATTTTTTATTTATACATTTATTTATTTCCACTTTTATTTATTTCCACAATTATTTTTTTATACATTTATATATTGTATTGTATTATTTAAATTGATTTCCAGGGGCGTTCAGCATCATATACTGCATGTCAAGTTCTTAATATTAATCGATAAACTACTCAGTTATTATAATAATAAGGCACTATGGCTGTTATCAGTAATAAAAGTCAAAATCTTAATACAGAGGAGAATGTTTTTACACTGCAATTACAATTGCATAAAAGTCGTTATGAGGTTAATGTTAAAAATAAAACATTTGAATATAGAATGATATAGAATGATAATGAATCTAGATATGAAATGATGGAATCAATTCAATTGTACGTTTAAATATGAAACTAAAACAGCCAGTAGGTGGCGTTAAGTCACTGTCTTAAACGAGTGAGTCATATAATTAATTCAGACTGATTCATTCAAATACTGAACTTCGGGGAAAAAACACCACGTGTTATGTTCAACTGTACAGCTCAGGTATCAAAATTATGGCGGGGCGACGTGGCACCAACATTTATAAAAAATGTCTGCATTTAAAAATGCTGTAAAAAAGCCCATGTATGAGATAATTTTATTATAATTTTTTCCCGAACTGAATGAATCAGTATTTGAATGAATCGGTCTGAATTAATGATATGACTCACTCGTTTAAGACAGTGACTTACCGCCACCTACTGGCTGTTTTAGTTTCATATTTAAACGTACAATTTAATTGATTTCATCATTTCATATCTATATTCATTATCATTCTATATCATTCTATATTCAAATGTTTTATTTTTAACATTAATCTCATAACGACTTTTATGCAATTGTAATTGCAGTGTAAAAACATTCTCCTCTGTATTAAGATTTTGACTTTTAATGACTTAATGACTTTTGTTAATTTTATTTTACTGATAACAGCCATAGTGCCTTATTATTATAATAACTGAGTAGTTTATCGATTAATATTAAGAACTTGACATGCAGTATATGATGCTGAATGCCCCTGGAAATCAAGTTATATAATACAATACAATATATAAATGTATAAATAAATAAATGTGGAAATAAATAAATGTATAAATAAAAAATAAAAAATGTGTGAAAAAATACAATTATACATAAATAAGGAAATAAAAGTATAAATACTCATTTATTTGTATTTTTTTTACATTTCTTTGTATATTTATTTATGTATTTTTGCTTTTTTGCATTTCTTCGTATATTTATGTATTTATGTATTTATTTATTTTTAATTAAGTCAGCTTTGGCATTCCATACTAGAGAAGACATCTATCCATAAAATTCCTTTTTCTTCTTCTTTGTGCTGCGTGGTGATTGGAGACCAACAGCCAATCACAATTGACCTTTAATTTTCCGATTGGTTGATTTTGTGGCACACTTGTAACGCTGTTGCAAGTTGAGCGCGTGTGTGTGTCAAGAGTTGAGCGCGCGTGTGTCAAGAGTTGAGCGCGTGTGTGTCAAGAGTTGAGCTCGCGTGTGTCAAGAGTTGAGCGCGCGTGTGTCAAGAGTTGAGCGCGCACAGAATTAAGAGATTGAGAGAGAGAGAGAGGGACTTGACAGGAGCGCAGAGAATAAGTTTGTGAGAGAGCACCTGAGTAAACTGCGTGAGAGGGGTTATTATTGCACGTTAATATGGATAATAGCAAATACATTTATTGAGCACGGAATTGTTTTTTCTTTGCTCAAACGAATTTTTTTTTTGCGATTGTTAATTTCTGTTCAAAATATAATGCAATGTGCTTGCAAAATATAGTTCTCTGTGCTCAAAACGTACAATTACTCGCTCAGGATTGAGGCACAATAATAACGCCATAGTTATGGCGCATGCGTGGTAACACATACGTGACGTACGTACGTGACGTATTGTATATACGTGACGTCACCGCGCTACAGGCTGCAGCGAGGAGTACTTGGAATATCACACGCAAACCCAAGGCGTCATAAAGTTGGCTGGCATCCTTCAGCTTGAATATGAGACGCAGACCCTACCCCACACCTAAACCTACCCATCACAGTGCGTGTTATATTCACGCTAAAGGGTGCCATGTGCGTAGTATTTCGCCGTTTTGTCATATGGCGTCATCTTTATGACGCCAAAGGATGAGAATGAGTTGGAGCGTTCTGCTAGCCTGGCTAACGCCAGACCCAATCTCGTTGAGAATTGGGTCTGGGAACCACATGCGCAATTTCTCGTATTTGAGGCGTGGTTTCAGAATGCCCGTCGCAGTTTATTGGGTGCTAAGAATGTCTATCAAATATGCCTGTACGTAGCTCATAGCCAATCGTTTCGATTATACCAGATGACGTATGTAGAGCGACAGAAATTAGACAAGGAAGAAGACGATGGGAAAGATCTTTTTTGTAAACAATGACGTTAAGCGATTATTGCCGTTTGTGCAAGATAAATATGAGGGTAGAAGTTATATATGGACACTCCACAGACATGTTTTCATCCAAAAAACCACCAAGTTTATCCGAGAGGTTAACAATATTAGGGGTGACAGTCGCACCGGAGTCAGGGGAATCGCGAAGATCCTGCCAGCGTTGCTCAAACAGAATTTCCAGGCTGGAAAGAGACTTGCCCACATTCAGACAATGGGAAGAAGAGTTCCGAAACACGGACAGCAACATAGCCAAAAGGCAACGCGAGCCTACACCCTCGAAGACCCCGAGGGCTTTGAAAAAGACCTGCCCAAACCCACCGAGTCCACGAGACATCTCCACCAGGAAAACCACAACCCAGGTATCATACGTTTATTTGTATTTTCAGTCGTTTCAGCTTCTTAAATAACATGCATTTAAATAACTATTGTAACAGCTCATTAAAATCTTACGATAAGCAACCTATTAGTTCTTGCTTGGCGCTGCCTGAACTTTTTTTTTAATTCAGTAGAAAGGGGAAAAAAAATACGTTTTGTTATTTATTTACTTGTCCCAGACAATCTAGAGAGGGGAGAGCATTTGACTTCCGTGTTCCCCAAGCACTGTTAGAAAAGGTTGACAGAGGTTCGCTCCTACTATCTGGTTTATGTATGTTTATTGCCAAATGCGGCCTGGCTCATCTTTAAATCTTCTCTGTAATCTACCTGCAAAGTCTGCCTGGCTGTGGCTTATCTTAACTTGGCTCTGAGCATATAGTAGTTTCAACAGATGTGTTTGATTACTGATTAGTGAGTATCAAAATGATTCTAAGATTTGAAATTTATCATTTAAAAAAAAGATAAAAGCACATCAATGATGAAACTATTGTGTATAACTGATGAAATTAAGTGTACTTTTTATTTCAGGTTACCATCACATATCCGTCGCAAACACTATCAAGGGTGTGCAATCCTGAGGAAGATCCAATCATAAAATTCATAATTCTAAAAAGATGGAAAGAGGCTGCCAGTCATGCATTAAAACATAAACACCTGCAAGAGGAACTCAAATCTGGAATCATTCAGTTAATTTTTGAAGAATGTGAGAAACTGTGCTCTCAAAGAAATGACTTCATTTTATGGAGGTCTAAACCAGCAGACCTTAAGTCATTCTCTTTCCACAGTTTAAGAGATGACCTCCATCGGCTTGCACCCTTTATGCTATCGATTTTCAATTGCATCACCAACAATAACAACTTGTCAACATGTACTGCTGCAGCAATTGCAATCAGAGGACGACAACCCCGTCTGGCTGCATTATCATATTACATCAACACCATTCTCCAGTATGGTGGAGCAAAAAAGTCAGTTTTCAAACGATTGAGCCAGTTATCAATAACCACATCACACGGCAGAGCCATAAAGAAGCAACGTGAGTTGGCACTTGGCTGTGGGGCTGACTTCCAAAAACTCAAACTAAGCTTCAAAGATACAGACAACGATGAAGAATTCCAAGAAGCATTCCGAAGCATGGAGGACCTTCATCTGTCAGGTGAGGGAGAAATGAAACCAAAATAAAACACACTTACAGTTAATTTTTTTTTATATTGTTAAGTTCATGATGAGATCTAATTATTTTATTTTTTTTACAAATTATGCTTTTATAAAGATGAAAACAGCGCACCTTCCACCAGACAGAAAGACAGCCGTGTGACCTGCCCATCATCATATTCAATTATCATGGACAATCTGGATCTCTTTGTACACAGACACAACCAGTCAATCGATAACAGCAACAAAGTCTACACTGGATACACCATATAGCCGTCAAAGACCGAATACCCACCCACCACATCTCCAATATCAAACCCACAACAGACATTCAACGATACAATCTTGCCTTATCACTTCCACAGAGGAACACCCAAGCTTTAATGTGGCGCGAATTAATTGTTCTTGGGACCAGAATGCTGAACAAGCACATGACCGTGTTTGAAAGCTTTGGAGATGTAAAGACTCATGGGCGGATCTAATCCGTGGGGAATTTGCATACCATAATTAATAATTGGTAATTAATAATTATTCATGCATGTTTGGATTAGATCAGTCTTACATGTTAATAAATCTCCCGATAAGGGAGGATCTGTCATTTTACCTGCATGCATGCATGTTGATTGCAATTAATTACACGGACCACGTTTCACAAAACAGGTAAAATGAATTAGCTCAATTGTCAGGATAATATTTGTGGGGATCCACCATATCATCTTACTTTATAGGATTTCAGGAAACGCAATTCTCTGGCCAGAAGAATTGGGTTTCCCGCCCTATAAACACAACACATACTCTTTAAGGTATTTTTAATTTTAGTAAGCTTGTAGCATAAGATCTTTGGCACTTAAGGGACTTGAAACTGAGCAAAGAGACAGTACATCAATCAAATTAATATATATTTAATTTAATAGAGGCATGACTACTTATGTATTTACTACGGTTACACGGGATATATATGTATTTACAAACACATAGACATCAATGAACAATACAATAAGACATCAATGAACGAGAAATGCGTAAAGTTTGGACAATGGATAACTTACACGCGTGAGCGAGTAAGAGATAGAGAGAGAGAGAGAGAGAGAGAGAGAGAGAGAGAGAGAGGGAGAGAGAGAGACAGCATGGGTACGATTTTTCCCTAGACTTTCACCTCTCTGTAACAACACGAAACACATCATCTTAATGCTTCTGAGAAGCTTCAAAAGAGATTATACTTGCACAAGTTATGTTATGGTCTCTCGGTGTGTCGAGGCATTCCCTTACGGCCCTGTCTGGCCGCGTGAGCTGAGTCCTTTGTGTGTGAGGAAGCGTCACGTGGGCTGCTTGGCGCGCGTGTTGAACGGAGGTTCACAGTCTTTGGGGTAACATTACCAAAGGGAAATAGTTCGGCTAAGTTCGTTTCACTTCGTGGAAGTGAACTGAGTCAACTACGGAAAACAAAACTTTGACTAACAAAAAAGAAATAAAGATCTCTACGGGGAAATCACGCGGAGTTAACGTTACATCTTTGCATGGCTGGTGAAGAAGCGCGTGCGTCGCTCGGGCCGGCGCGTCACGTGGTCACGTGCGCGTGTTTCTCCTTCAAAGCGAGCGAGCGCTCGTTTAAAGGTCCCTTGTAGATGGATTTGCTGAAGAGATATGTCACGGGGTTTTCTTTTCAATCGTCGATTGGAATTAAACACAGAGACGTATCTACAGCTGAAAAACACAAACTAAACTAGAAACAAATAAAAGAAAGGCGAAGAGCTCGCCCGGAGGCGAGACGTTACATTATGACACGAGGACAAGGGAGGAAGAGGCGTCCAGAGGGAGGTTCAGTCCTCTTTAGAGGAACTGGAGTCCACACCTCTGAGGTGCGAACTGGCCAATGACATTCAACGAAACTTTTGGCGGCCAAATTCTCTTTGTCTTGTCAAAGTTAAACTATGGCCGTGTCCGCCTCTTTTATGACCAGTCAGAATTTGTCAGAATCATTCCACAAGATGGTAAAAACATACATTTTACTGTAATCTTCTGTATCTGACCAAATCAGTTGGAACGAGATAATTAAAACGGTACCAAACAAAACATTTACACATAATTGGAATACGAAGATACATCTTAATACATAACTATAAACTCTCAAGAGTTTCACTGATACGCTAGGAGATCACATCTAGACTACCATGGACTGGGAAACACACAGACATACAGGAATATATCGTATACAATTGGTAATGGCTCGTTTTATGAGTGTAATGTAAAGGTCCATTATGTGTGTGTGTTGGTTTGTGTGTGTGTGTGTTAGAGTTCTGTTATCTCTCTTGCAGAGATGGGGGAGGGCATGGAATGTTCAAGCATTTTATGACTCTGGCCATTCCTCTGAAGCTTGCGGGCTACAGTCCGGGTGAATCTCGCAGGACATCTGAATATGTCAGTTAATTTGGTGTTTAAGAGAAAGAACCTTCAAGATTTATTATAACACCCCTGCATCACAAAGTTAGCAAGATGTAATGTAAATCAACAAATGGGAACGAAGGTTGGAGTTTATCGAGACTAAACATGCTACACAGTGATTTCTGTTTCTCATAGTATGCAAGTCACGTCTCAACATTAACCCATTAGAGTTTACAAGGCCACACAGACCAAACAACATAAAGGAAAATCATGAGATGGAACATTAGATGCATGTATCACATGGTTATATGTATATACATAGAATATACAGGTTTAAACCCGGGTTCGTTACTTCTTCTCAGCAAGAATAAGGAGGAATCACACTCTCTGGGACATTCCAAGGGGTAATAAAGCTCAGTCTTGTCACAGAACACCCCTGTTCTTTGTGTGTGTGTGAGAGAGAGAGTGTGTGTGTGTGTTGTACACACGTTCTTGCTTGAGGAAAGGAGGAAGTCAACTGACAGTCCATACCTTACAGTCCCCCTTTTCGTCCGATGACGTCCCTTTGTGGACATCATCGGACGACACATCACAATGGGCGGATGGCAGGTGAATCATGACTCATGCAGCAGGTGGTTATTAGGGCTGAGGATTCAGCTCTATGAGGTTCGAAGCTGCCTCTGGCCTGGTCTCTGACTTGGCACCCCCATTTTGCGGGTTTCGTCCGAAACCTTTCGTGAGCTTGGCTGAAGATATTTGTATCTCGTTGAGTCTCCTGTATAGGATGAAGGTCAAGCCCAGTGTCAGGGTGTGTCTGACTACCATAGAGGTACACAGTGCAGTGTCGGCTGCGGTCCAGGCTTGGACAACAGGTGAGGTAGTCAGAATGGGTAGTCGAGACAAAGCTCGGAGGGCTGTGTCGATAGGAGCAATGTCAATTAGCTGGGATCACCCCCCTTTCGCAAACCACAACTCCCGTTCTGGAGTTAGGGTGAAAGTGTGGTTCCTGGAGAAGGATGGGATTTCCAGTTTTAATTTGTACTCTTTGCATGGAAGATGGTACCATGCCAGGTCGTCAAGGTGAAGGATGGCACTTTTCGGTGCTTGGATTCACAGGCTCTAGTGGAGCGAGGTGACACAGGTGTCAGTGTCATTCTGGTCGTAAGTGAGTGCAGCTGTGCGCACAGGAGTGTTAGCGAGCCGCCTGTCACTTACACTCTCTGCTTGGGTCTTGATGCCTTGAGTGCGTGGCTTGGCTTCGGCATGGCAGCGGGTGTCGCTGATCTGCAGCCCGCAGATTCCGTCAGTGTTGTCTCTGAGGAAAGGCTTGTTAGGGCAGAGATAGTGAATTTCTTTGGTCAATGTGCACACGTACGGGTTCGGAGCTTAGGACGGCTTTGTGTTGCTGTCGTTGCAGTCAACCCCGCCCGGCGTGTGGATCTTGATGTGAATGTTACTTTTCAAAATCTGACCTTGACAATGTTCTTGAGCCGGTAGATTCGGCTTGACTCTATGATGGGCAAGTACAGGAGAAAGCCCCCCCCCTTCTCTGCTTGTAGTCGACGCAGAGAGGGATGGCACTACCCAGAGAGTAGGAAAGGTGTATTTGTAAAGAGTCAGTTGGCGTGGTGATGGCGGACGCCAGCACGGTTTTCACGAGGCTTAAGGGTATCAGGTGCGGTGGAATTCTACCCCTGGCGAGGCTGTCGATGGAGGAGTTCACCCCCTGCAGCAGGTTTGTCATCAGGGCTGTTACCAGCTGAGTTTGAGCAAAGTCATTCTGGAAGACAGTAAACAGCTGTTTCATGGAGTGAGTGTTGGAGTGCATGGGGTTCAACGCTGTGAGTGTTGAAAGTTACCACAGTTCCCTTTAGTGTCTTGTCGATGGTCTGCAGGGATGCACTCTGTTGTGAGTGCTCTTTTATCTGTGGAATCTCAGTCTGAATTTCGGCTACATGCCGTCCCACGTTGGCGAGGTTTGCTGCATTCATGCTGGACATACAAGTGTTAAACAGAGTTCTGACGGCAGTGCGGCGGTGGTTGTGGCCACCTGGCTCCGCTAGCGTGACAGTCATTTTCTCAAGTTGCTTGAGCATGTGTTCAACCTCGGTCTCAGCGTGCGTGCGGGAGTCCTTTGTCCATCGGCACCTACCCAGCTGTATTGTGTTGTTACGCTGGGGTAGTGTGTTCTGTAGGCGTTGTGAGGATCAGGTGGCACATTCACTTTCTGAGTGCGGGTCCGGCAGAAAAGGAGTCCTGGTGCCAGACCTGGTGAGATGTCCGATTGCGGTTGCCCTCTGGTTGGCTGGAGGCACAGCAGCATCCTGGTAAAAGTGAAAGGGAGAGAGAAAGAGAGAAAGGGAGGAAAAATTTCGCCGGTATGCCACTTGCTTCGGTGTCTTGCAAGTGTCTCTGGTGCTGCGGCGTGCAGCGGCATACATTGGCATTACCCCCCTTTTGCACTGTGGCATCACAAGCTGTGGCGCGGTGATGGCATCAGGTGCAGAACGCTGAATTTTGTTTAGTGCACGCAGCATGTGCTTGTTGACGTAGGTTGTCTGGGGCACCGGTTGTCGGTTTGTGCAGACGGCGTCCGTGGGTGGTTGGAGGGGTATGAGAGGTGGTTTCTCATAGTGTCCATTGTTTTGTCATAGTCTTTGGTAAGCTGAAAGGTTAAGGTCAGGTGAAGCAGGGGCTCTGTGACTTTTGTCACACTTGTGGGGAGAGACTAATGCATGACCCTAAAAGTTCAGAACCACGGTTTAACGGGTTCACTAGGTATGTAGCATAAAGCTAGGTGTTTTACGTGTGGCTAGCTAGTGAAGTGTGTCTTGTATCCTTATCTTAGCTGTGGATGTTAGGAGGCCAAGACTTTATGTGGTTCCGAGAGTATGTCCTGAAAAGGGCATAGTCATGGTTCACTACGGCTTGACGAAGTGAATGATAGGGGGAAAAAGGACAGCTTTCCTATTCAAATTATGCTTATTATCAACTCTCTGGACTATAGTTGTGCCCTAGTAAAGTGCTGAAATACTTGTGTTTCAGGGTCACAAAAATGAGTGCGCTTGT